TCATCAAGAATTTGTGAGACCCTCTCATTCCACAACTTCCTGTATGTGTCATGGGGATGCAGGGTGTGTACCTGAGGTAGTGAGTGGATTTTTATGACCATGTTTTCCTTCCAATTCTTCTAAAGCAGTTTCCCAGAATCCTAGGTTCTTTCATCATCTCTGAACCATCGATGCACAGGAGCTAGAACAGCACACATAGAGACAGCATCCTTCAAACCAAAGTGGTTTTGTTTGCTTTTCTAATTGTGAATTTATTTATATATCTTTAAATCTCTAATTAGCATATTTTGGTTTATGTATCAATGTGTTATAGAAACTAAGATATTTGGATGAAATTAAATGTTTTGCAGAACTATCTAAGACCTTCAGTTACAATAAATGTTAAGTCCTTGGGAATCAAGATGCCGTCATAAAAGTAGCAAGTAGGCTATGGTCCACTTTACTCAGTCAGGTTTTTGACCCACTACTGAGCATTGTAATTGTATTCCAAATTTATCTTTTCACCCTCTTCTGAATGTGCAGTGCATCAACTTATTTAATAAACAATTATTGAGCACCTGCAGTGTGTCAGATACATAGCTAGGATAGAGTCACTGGTCAAAAAGTATAGTGGAAGAGACAGCCAAATGAACCAGTGGATACCATAGACCATTAAAAGACTAGGCTGAATTTATTTAGTCAGGGAGTTCTGGTAGTACAGAAGACTGGCATTTACTTTAGACCAACTAACCCTTTGGTGAATCTTCCAGGATAAGAGTCATGAGGAAGGAAGACCGTTCCAGGCGTAGAGATCAGGAGGCACAAAGGGACAGAAGCAGGGATTATCCTGGTGCAAGCAAGCACCTGCTAGTGACTCAGTGTGGTTAGAGCAGGTGCTCAGTAGAGATGGAAAGAAGGCTAGATAGGTAGACAGGGTCAGAGCTTAAGAGGCTGGAGTATAGGACAGAGTGTAGGCCAAGAAGAAACAGACCAGATTTCTCCACTATGAAGAACACTGGTGGTAATACCTCTCAAGCATGTCATTGGTCTTTAGTGTCCTCGACAGAGCAACCAGGAAAGAGACATTTCCAAACCATGTTCTAGAACTTTGTTCTAGTAGATATAAAAAGATGGGCCACAAGAAAAAAAAATTCAGTAGTTAAGGAGCAGATTGAATACTATATATACTATATTCTTCAAAATTCACAATTGAGAGCATATTAAAGGTTTTCAAAGTCTTCTAATAAAGGAACTACTTTAGTTTTAACTCACCATTTTTTTTCGAGTTTTTTGAGCTTGGAGTAGAGGCCCATTTTGACAAACAGAATCCATGGTCCAAACATCTTCATTTCCTGTTTTGTTTGTGTTGGTGGAGCTGGGGATGGCACATGCCCTTCAAGTGTTCCACCATCAAGCTTCACCCTCCATCCTCGGTGATACCTCTCCAATGTGCAGGACTAAAGAGCTAGTTCTTATAGATTTACTTCTTAGATCACTTTGTGTCCTTGTCATCAACTTTGGCTGTTTATTTTTCATAGCAACTTTTTTTTTAATTGTCTCACCTGTCCTTTTCTCCTCATTTTTTATATCATGCTCAGACCACATGACCTGCTATTGAGTTGCAAGAAATGTGAATTGAGTTGTTGCTAAACAAATATCAATCATTTATAATGTATTTAATAGAAACTATAATGAATAAAGTTAGGATTTTACTTTTTTTAAAATTTTTTTTTAAACAGGGAGAGAGAGAATTTTAATATTTATTTTTTTTTTAGTTTTTGGCGGACACAACATCTTTGTTTGTATGTGGTGCTGAGGATCGAACCGGGGCCCGCACGCATGCCAGGCGAGCGCGATACCGCTTGAGCCACATCCCCAGCCCAAGGATTTTACTTATTATAAAGTCTTCATATTCTGCATTGGCAAACTTCAAAATTAATAGAATCATTATGTTGCTAAAGAGATCAAATAAATAAAAACAGAATTAACTTTGTTAAAAATTTAATATTTTCAATATTTACCTGTCAGAGCCACTGATTTGGAAATTGTTATAAATTCTCAAAAAATGGGAACATTTTTTTCCTGTAAAAATCCCCATCATTTTGCAAACTGCAGTGTCATTTTCCTTGAAGAGAATGTAGTGATTGATTATCCAGAGTGCTGCCATGACAAGGTAAACCAACCAAATAGCGGAAAATTGTATGTAATCATATAGCATCACCTAGGTGTGTGCTGAGCACAGCCATTAGAATTAAGCCATGCCATTCTGATCATTCCCTGCTGTACATCCTTCTCACCCCCCGAACATGAACCTCCAGGGAATGGGCAGAGATGCTTGCAGTCACCTCTGCCCCTACAGATGTCATCAGTGCAGTTCTTGTCACCCAGATGCACTGTGGTAAATACAGTGCAAACCTACTTCATAGCAAGAGATTTCAAAATGCAGAGACATCTGTATCAAACATCCCTCACATATATGACATTCAGAGAGACGTTCATTCACATTCTTTTATTAGTAGTATAATCCCAAAGGTCCTGAGAAACTATAAACAAGGAGAGAAAAGGAATCATGGGAGCTGAACAAAAAGGAAAGGAGAAAGATCCTCCTGAGAATTCCGCAGTATAGTCAGGAAGGCCACACGTACCTGTGATGACTTGTGAACTGTTACACTGTGATTCAGCCAATGTCAAGGTAATGTAATGATGAGCAAATTGAATACATGAGTCATGAGAGTGATCAAATTATCCTTGGTTATTAGAGTACTAAACTGAATCAGAAGAAAGGAAGGGGCTACCCAAGCTACCCCAGACATGATTACCAATACTGTGATTGGGAATAGAACCAGGCTCTTTCTCTTAATAATTAGAGTAATCTCATCTTCCCTGCAATGCTTTAGATATTAAGTGGGCTCCGTTAGGATGGCAGACTCCTCTCTCCTTTATTAATTGCTGTCCACATGTCTTAGGATACCCTGTGTTCTGAATCAAGATGAGAATTTTAGATGTTTCTACGCATGGGGACATGTAGCCAGGCAGAATCAATTCCTGTCACTCACTCACAAATACAGAGGAATGGGATTATGGATCAGGGTGAAGCTGCAGTGCTTTAATCTTAAAATCAATACAGAAAAGGAAGTTGAACTTGTGGGGATTCTATAGAGACTGTAATTTGGTTTCCTAAGAGGTTTGCCTTACAGAATATAACTGTTCCTTTCTTCTCTCCTTCTAATTATTTTACTGAGAATGGAAAGGGGAGGGGAAGGGGAAAAAAGACAGAAACCTCTACAACCAAATCATCTTGAATAAGCATGCAAATGTAAGTCATAATTCAAGCTAATCCTCCTTTGTGTTGAGAAAAGCTATACACTTTTATCCATTCTTTATTAAAAAAAAATTAGTCAAAACCTTGTATCCTATAGCCTGTATTTAAGCATAATAAAATGCCTTTGATTCCTTCATAGGTCACTAGAAAAATGTTTTTAATGTTTACTTTTATGCCTAAATCTACTATAGCCTATGTGATTTTACACAAATAAATATTCAACACACTTGTTATTGACCAAAGGATTCCAGGCTGCTAAGCATGTGATTAATATTTACTCCCATGTAATTCTGCTCCTTTTGAAAGAGACATGAACTAATGGTTTTAAAGACTCAGTCTTTTTCTTAATCAGAGATTTACAGCTTATTGAATATGCCTCTTTTCAGATATAACACTGATTTGTTGCACAGTACTATCTATCCGACTTTAAAGTGGGCTTATTATTTTTCCCTTTGGATAGTTCTTTAATTCAGTTTTAAAATATGTCTGAGTCTGTTTGGATCCTGTTCCTGTAATGGTGACGATGATGTTGTTACAGTTTGGATTTGAAATGTCACCAGAGGCCCGGGTGTTATGTTAAAGGCCTGTTCCCCAGAGTGGTGCTGTTGGGAAGTTGGAGAGAACCCCAAGAGAGTAGGGTCTACTGGGAGGTCTTCAGGCCACTGGGGGCATGCCCTTGAAGGAGGTTTTGGAACCCTAGCCCTTCCTCCTCCTCCTCCTGCTGCTGGCCATTAGATGAGCAGTTCTGCTCTGCTGTGCACTTCTGCCATGATGCCCTTGCCATAGTCCCAAAACCACGAAGCCAGTTAGTCATGGACCGAAACCTTCAAACTATGAGCCAAAATAAACCTTTTCTCTTTATAAATTGATTATCTGAGTTATTTGTTACAATACTGGAGAGTTGACTAACAGTAATATACTCTGATCATGGGAAAATGTTTGAGCTGTGAGCAGAACTCAGGACTAGCGCTGAGACAAAATGGTTTGGTGAAGAGAGCAAAGCCCGGAGCCCTTGCTTTATTTGCTTCATCTTTCTAAGTTTCTTTACACTTCTTTTGACTAGGGGTGATTTTAGGTGATGGGAAGGGGTGTCGAGAGGAATAAATGAGCTGATGCATACAAAGTGCTTAGCACTGTACCCTGCACTTGCAAGAGCCCCATAAATGTTCATGATAGTCATGATGATTATGTGAGTCTCGAGTGAGAAAACATGCTGTGCATGTGAAAACGTTCTACAAGCTTTAAGACAATACAAATGTTGTTGTTAATATATTGATAGTTTTGAGACTTTCAAAATAAACCATGGAAGGCTTTTTCTTTATGCTGCTTATCATAGGTCACCCCTCTCAAAGTAGAACTCTGAAGGTTGTAAATCAGGCTCCAACTGAATATGCATTTTCTTTCTTAAAAAACAAAGAGATATCTTGTGACTGTCAAGAACTCCTCAAAATCAGTTTGCAAATCCTTATCCTATGTCATTCCAGAGAAAATACCTTCACAGGTCTTTGGAAGACCCAGTAGGATGTAAGATACTAATTTTGTTCTTGATTTTAGTCCATGTTTTTAAATGTCACATCCTTCAGGAAAGTTCAAGTGTCTTCAATTATTACATCCCGTCATTTGTCCTTCCTTGTCCTACACATTACCTGAGCATGGAAATCTCATGAGTTTCTGTGTCCTCTTTTTCATTCATTTCCAGAGCACTATCATCGTGGAGAAGACGGTGCAAGACCTCATGAACCTGATGCATGACTTGAGTGCATACTCAGATCAGTTCCTCAACATGGTGTGTGTGAAGCTCCAGGAGTACAAGGACACCTGCTCTGCAGCCTACAGGTAGAGCTTCTGCTAGGGCCTAAGCAAAGTCACTTTAGAACCCCAGGGGTGGCTCTGATTAGTGATACTATCTTTGTTGCCTAACTTCCACCTTAAGAAAAAAGATCACTCCTGAATTTTTCAGGGGACCTGATAGAACATGTTTCACAGAAATAGGCTCTTAGATTCTTCCATAGTCACCCTGACTGAGGGAATGAAAGGGACCAAGAATCAGAGACACATAAGACTACCCTGGAGTGGCTCAGCTGAGGGTGTCAACCTTGATTTTCATGAGACTCTAGAATTGTAAGGTTTGCCATCCTCAAGGAAATTTCAAACCTTGATTAGTCCATCTGGTGAGTAAAAAGATCCTTTAAGTAGAGCAATTTGAAACTCTTAATAATCTATAAAGTACTTCTTTTTCATCCTTACAAATGTATTCTCCCTGATGTTTGATCTATAAGCTTCCTACCTTCACAAAAGGACAGTTTTGTGGTGATGTTTTCAACATCACTAGAAATGAAAAACTAATGTTACAAACTTGAAAATGGTTAGTTATACCTCTGATATGTTTTCTTTGGGTTGAAAAACCTTTCTGGGCTTATGGAAGAGATCATAGTCCTTCTCATGGAAAACAAATTTAGGAACAAATGATGGTCTTGTTGGCAAGACATAGAACAATTATCAAAGAAAGGAATGTGGGCTGGGGACATGGCTCAGTTGGTAGAGTGCTTGACTCACATGTACAAAGCTGGGGTTCAGTCCCCAGCACCACACACACACACATTCTCTCTCTCTCTCTCTCACACACACACACACACACACAAAATAGGAATGTGTGATAATATTCTAACATGTATGTGATATATAACTAAGGATAGAGAGGTACAGAACATAGTAACTGTACTGCAAAGGTGATAACTGTATAAGACGAACTCTAAGGGCAGAAAGATCAAAACATGAGCAAGACTGGAAAAAGATGGTGGCAGCCAGGAGTGACTTTGCAGAAGGAGGGATATGTGCTGGGGAGATGACACTTAGGGAGGTACAGCTCTGCAGGGGCGGAGGGGAAGCACTAGCATAGTTGCCTTGCATTTGGAAGGACCTATGTGGAGGAAGTTTGACTGGAATAGAGCTCTCAATGGACGGTAGTAGGAGATAATGGTGAATAGAAAGAGTAGGACCAACCAACATAGTCTTTTTAAAAAATGAGGCTTGGAAATATAAACATTGTATAGTAAATAATAAGTGAGTCCAAAAGCAGTGTTTAGGGGAGATTAATCAGACAGAGTAATACAGTATAGATGAATGCTCAACCTTCCTCATTCCAGCAATAAGTGATATTTGTGCACACCTACGTGAATCAGTTAAAGAAACCCAACCACTTTACTGAGATGCACTCCCAATAATATTTTATTTTTTTCATTCAATGATTAATTCATCAAAAATTATTTTTGGGTTAAAATTATACATATAATGAATAACTTATAATAGATTAGTTAAAAAATATTTAGTAATTCAGATAAAAGGGCTAAAAAAGTATATTGTTGTTAACAGAAATCTTAAATTTATATTTTTTAGATTCAAATTCGTATAAATATTTTTTGCAGAAAATTCCATATATCCCATTAGGATAAAATTCATTGAGGATGTGAAATAGAAATAATATTCAAAGAGAAAAGAAAATACATCCAACTGTTAAAAAAGAGCCTTTTCCATCTATATTTTAATGGAGGGCATAAAATTACAAATAACACCTGTGAAAGACACGAACTTAGGATATCTGTCTGAGATTGGAATTTCTGAGCCATACATATTGTTTTTTCAGTTGCACAAAACCTAATTCCAAAGCAGTTAAAAAGTTGTACCAATGTCTCACATAACAAATGAGAATCTAATAGCATATTTTAAATATTAAAACATAAATAGTAAAAATGTCTTTAAATAATGACATTTTAAAATCATTGCATTTTAATTTTACTTTCATGACTATGTTGAACTTCCATTAAATTTAAAACTTTTTAAAAGGCAAGTTCTGCCCTCGTTTTCTTACATCTGATTATGAGTACTCAATAATTTCTCACAAATAATAATGTTGAATGTTAATTATAATGAAGAAGTTATATAACCTGACTATAATAAGGTAAAGTTGACTCTAGAATCTAAATGCCTCTTGTAGTCATTTTTATAGTATTGTTATTCATAATATTTTGACAGAAAATTTTAAAACTCTTGCAACGTTATTCATCACAGGTGCTCTTTTTTTTTTTTGTAGTTTTTGATCCTGCCTCTCAACATGAGATATGACTGGAACCTATGTGTATTAGTCTGCTTTATGATACTATAACAAAATGCTTGAGCCAATTAGCTTATATAGAGAAAAGGATTATTTTGGTTCACCATTCGGGATGGTCCAGTCAAAAATCAGATGATCCCATGGCTTTGGACCTCAGCCAAAATAGCACAGAGTGTGTTCAAGCATCTGTTAGCTATTTACTGAGCATGTGCCAAGACACTGTGTAAGTGTGTGGGAAGAAAGAACTTAACCGGTGACTGATTCTACCTCTAATGAACTTATATTATAAAGGATAGAAAGGGAAATATGAGACAAATTATCATAATTTTATATATAATCTTCATACCACTAATTTATGACAGGAAATATGGTAAGGTAAGGGAAGATGCCCTGTTCCAGGAGGAAGAAATCACTGAGGGAAGGATATGAACCAGGCTTCTGGAAAAAGAAGAGGATTTGGAGAGTCTTAGGCAGGGGAAGAAAGGAACCTGAGCAATGTCAAGGACTGGGGCAAGTAGAGGGGAGAGAGATTAAGTCCCTGAATTGGGGGAAAGAGAGGGATAATGGAGGGGAAGTAGACAGCTCAAGAGGAATTAAAGAGGTAAAATTTTTAGATTTGACCATTAGTTGGCTACAGAGAGTAAGGAAATGTTAGGAAGAAACACTGGTTGAAATTAGCATTATCTTTTCTATTGCTGTGGTTTTTTTTTTTTTTAGTTGTTGTTGGACACAATATTTTTATTTTATTTATTTATATGTGGTGCTGAGGATCAAACCCCGTGCCTCGCACTTACTAGGTGAGTGCTCTACCACTGAGCCACAACCCCAGCTCCACTATAGATTTTTTTAAAAACATAAATTTAAGATCTAACATTTACCCATTAAATGTTATGTTATTTTTAACTCCTTATTGAAGTCTTTTAAGGTATTTTTAAATCTTCATTCTGTCATCAAAAAATCTTAAGCTATTCTTCCAAATTCCATGTCATTCTTGATTTTAGAAGCAATCTTTTAGCTTCTTTATATATGTCCTGAAAAGAAAAAAACAAGAAGAAGTTCAACCTAACAGGAATTTTGGAATCTACTTCTTAAGACAACTATGTATCACTCAATACTTCAGGAGCCCCTTTGGTTTTTTAACTAAGAAGGTGGACTTTAGTTCAAGAGCAGGCCCTGCAGCCCAAGTGTGAATACCAGCTTTCTGCCTACTAGTTAAATGGACTAGTCTCTCTGTCTTAACTTCCTCATCTGCAAAAAGGGATTATGATAGTTCTTTTCTTTTCTCAAGGGGTTTTTAAAAAATACTAACTTTTAAAAAAAATTAGTTTTTAAGTAAAATAGTATGTCCCCCTCACACAAAGATGAGCTCCTGTTTTGTTGATAGCAGTGTGTGGTGGTGATGGCTGCCTTGACTACCACCTGTGGCACCTATATTTTTCATCTTCTGCCCTACAAGAGATTGTATCAGGTTTCTTTCCTATATCTCCCAATTATAACACTTTTAAGGCAAACAGTACCCCGCTTACGTATCTCCCCAAAATGTGCATGTAAAAGCCAGCTGTGGACAATACTCCAAGTATTTGTTCAGGAATCTTCCCAACCCTTCACTTTCAGGACCTACTTCTCCTGCTCTACTGAACGATTCCTTAGGAATTCTCATTTTAGGCTGTGTTTGGTTAGGGGGTATCCCCCAAAAATTCTCATGTTAGACAATACAGAAATGTTCAGAGATGAAAATATCAGTGCTATGGGTTGGATATGAGGTGCCCTTCCCCCCACAAAGAACCCCTGTGTTAATGTAAGAATGTGCAGAGGTAAAGTGATTAGATTATGGGAGCTGTGACGTTATCACTCCATCCTAGTTTGAGTGACTGGGTGGTAACTGTAGGCAAGTGGGACATGGCTGGAGCAGATGGGTCATTGGGGAAATGCCCTGGAAGGATGTATCTTTCCTGTGGCCCCTCTCCCTCCTCTTCTGCCCCTGCCCCTTCTTTCTGGTCTCACCATGAACTGAGCAGCATTCCTCTGCTGGGCCCTTCCCCCATGAAGGCCCTTACCTGGGCCAAGAACAATGGAGTTGACAATCTACAGATGGAGACCAACAAAATCATGAGCCCCAGATCAATGTTTTCTTCTCCAAAACGTTCTTGTCTATTTTGGTCACAGTGATGAAAGGCAAACTAACACAGTCAGATCTTGAGAATAAAGTCAAAACAACCGAAAGCCAAATTTGTCATTTCTTCATGTAAATCAGGAAAAGAACAAAGTCATGTGTCTTGTTCTTTGAAAGATCTTCCTAGCTCCTGGAGAGGACCACTTTCTCACTGTTCACAAACTGCCTTTTATAATCTCTTCAGAGTCTTGTCCATGATTCCAAATTCACTCCATTTCTTTAATTTAATTTCCTTTTCTTTTTTTGAACCTCAGGGATTTGTTCTCAGTGTTTCTCCATTTCTGTCAAGATATCTCCAATAGTTCTATGATTCCATGTTTAATTATTTCAGTATCCCAAGATAAATTGCCTAAATTTGTCAGAATATTCTTTCATCTCAGTAATTATTAACACTGTTTATTATTTCATCCTTAAAACAATTATTTACTTCATTTCTAGGATTTCATTCATTCAACAAATGTTTATGGAGAGTTTATAAGAGAGTTTATAAGAGAGTTTGTAGATACAGTGGTGAAAAAGCAGATTAAACATCTGCCTTTATGTGGTTTACAT